GGCGGACGGGCGGACGGGAGGACGGGCGGACGGGAGGACGGGCGGACGGGCGGATGGGAGGACGGGCGGACGGGAGGACGGGCGGATGGGCCTGCGCAGGCGCCTCCCCTCCCACGCTTGCTTGCTTGTGGCAGACGCCGCCCACTCACCTGAAGAGGCACAGGATGGCGCTGCCGGCGGCGAGGGAGAGCAGGGAGGCGCCGTAGCCCAGCGTGTACACGGCCTTCACCAGCTCCAGGAACGCCACCTGCAGGGAGCCGCGCGCTGGCGGGGGGCTGCTCCCAGGCTGCCGGTCCCCGCCCCCCCGCAACCCCCCCACTGAGGGACCTGGCTGGGCCAGAGCAACGCCCCCACCGAGCCTCGCTGGGGGTGGCCACGCCGGGGCGCACCAGAGGACGGCCCCTGGGGCCCGGCGGGCGCCAGCGCTGGACCCCGGGCCGGGGTGTCGGTGCAGGGTACTGCGAGGCCCGGGATTCCTCTCGCGCCACCCACCCTTCCGGTGCCCGGCACTGCTCCGGCAGAGACCCGCTGCGGCCGGCCTGACCCCCACGGTCCCGCGGGCCGTTTCTCGCTTGGCACCGCCGAGATGGTCTGAACCCCACGTGTGGCGGGAAGACGACCCGTGGCCACCCAGCGAGGCTGGTCCGCCCGAGGAAGCTGTCTGCGTGCAACTGGCCTCAATGACCGGACACTGACGGCCAGAACAAGCCCCGCCGTGCTTCTGCTCCTGGCCCGGCTTTGCCCGCTTCACTCCGGAGCTTCACTCAGCGGCACCGACGCGGGCACCCCGCGGTGCCCAGGAGCCCGCGAGGGGCCCCGAGAGTGCAGGCTGCACCCCCATGACTGGTGGAGGTGGACAGGCTTCGGGGCCGGCAGAGCTGACCAACACCGACCGTGGAGGGACGTGCACTGCCGGCTGAGTACAGTCATGGAAATGGGGCGTGCGGAGAAGCCCCAAAACAGAAGGGGGCCCGGGAGCTTCACAAGCGGATCTTCCCAGACCCTCAAACAGTGCCATCGCGCTCGGGGTGTCCTCAAAGTACAGGGGGACGCGCCCACACACATTTAGGGGGACACAGATGCAGATGGCGCCAGGATGCGGCTGCAGAGCGTCACCCCGGTAAGTGTGGCGTGGCGTCCCAGGCCCACGCCGGCGCCCCCCGGCCCCACACCGGCGCCCCCCAGCCCCACACCGGGACGGGGGTCACCTCCCAGGGCGCTGGACGGCTGGGCGCCACCATGCACAGCAGCAGACACACGCGTGGTGACACCAGTCGCCTCCAGCGGCTAAGACCCGACACCCTGTTCGGGTAAGTGTAGTCCGCCAGGTGGACAGAGCCCAGGTCACTCCCATGTGTCCCCGGGCAGAGCAGGGCCCCGGTCGGCGGCCGGCAGCACCCGGGGCCACCGGGCGTCTCCTCCGCCGACGGACGCCACAAGCTGTGCCAAGGGTGGCACCAGCCTCCAGTGGGGGTGCGCGGGGTGTGCCCTGGCCGCCTCCCTCTGCCGGCCTGTGCCCCCACCCCCAGGGTGCGGCCTCTGCCCTTCTGATTGTGTCCTGTGCTGGTCAGACGTCCACCAGGCCTGACGCTGTCCACCAGGCGCCCTTCCCTGGCGCCCTGGACGGCGGTGGCCAGGGCGCTGGGCCCTTCCGGCCTGCTGGGGACGCTGCCCGGGGCGTCTGCACCGCGCCCCCTCTCCAACCCCGCCGCCCCTGGGTT